AAGGGACCTTAAAGCTCATCCAGTTCCAAACACCTGCCACAGGCAGGGCCACATTCCACTAGACCAGGTTGCTCCAAGCCCTATCCAGCCTGGCCTTGAGCACTGCCAGGGATGGGGCAGCCACAGCTTCTCTGGGCAACCTGTGCCAGGGCCTCACCACCCTCACAGGGAAGAACTTCTGCCTAAGAGCTCATCTCAGTCTCCCCTCTGTCAGGTTAAAGCTGTTCCCCATTGTCCTGTCACTACATGTCCTTGAGAGCATGGGGCATGCTTCTGCAACACAGATGCTGCCTGGGTAGGATAATCAAGGGCATACTGCCAGGGAACCCAAAATATCCGCTATCCATAACATACTTCTCCTTTTTATGCTTTTCTAAATTTAGTTTTTATTTTGTAAATTATCTACTGTCCCCCAATAGAGCCTTTGCATGTTTATTCCTGAAGTTACAGGAAAAGGCTTGCTTTCCCCTCCATTCACTAGAATAGCTTGTTCTATAAACTCATCTATGATGGAAACTGTTTCCTACAGGAAGTGCTCAGAAACAATTTGTCCTTAGTAGATGATTTCTCTATCAAGTTCATTTCCTAGGAAACGTATGTCGTAAGGCTAAGCAACCAAACTTAATAACATGCAGTATCCTTCCAGTCTCCTAAGCTGAATCCATTTGGATATCCAGCACATTTTAAGACGTTACGTTCTGCTTCATTACACAGCCTGTATCTTCTGAACAGCGGGGAAGCAGGTTTCTCATAAACTATTTCACGTTCTTCTGTTGGAGAAAACCTCTTAATGAACACCAAATTGCTTTCCAGCTGAAACAAGGCATGTTGTATAATAGAAATGCCCACCAACAAATGCTAAAACCACCTTTTGTTGCACCAAAACAGCCTCATTGTAATATCCACTATCAATTCTGAGAGCTGATGAAGACATAATGTGTAGGATGAGATACCAACAGCATGTACTAAGATATCTATAACCTCTCAAATCATTATTAAAATCTGTTACCCAGTGCTAAGTCCCATTTTCCTACTCGAAACAGCCAGGCTGAGATTAAAGCTTCAAAGGACACTGGAGATGGTTATCTGTGTCATGGACGAACCTGACTCTGCATGCTGACATTTTCTCTAAAGGAGACAATTTGCTGCGTCCGATTATCTGACAAAAATTGTAGATTAAGGAACTTTACCGACTCTACAGCTTGTTGTGTCCCTGTTTTTCTTTGCATGCTGCAATCTAGTTGCCTGAATCATACATAATTGTTTCCATTTCCTGATTAGATAAATGGTAACATTATACCAGGAGAACAATATATGTGGACTGGTTATTTAAAATGTGGGGGTGTTCCAGGAAATCTTTTTTAAACTTGTTTTATTGTAGAGATTTACAAAACACTGAAGCAATCACTTACTAAAACAAACAAATATAAAACCTGTAGTACTGTGAAAAAGCTAGGGTGTTTTTGGTTTTTGGTTTTTTTTTTTTACTGTTCTGAGGGTATCCAACACAAAAAAGGTATCTTTTCCTTTTAAATATTTGGTAACTTTATAGTTCAAAAAATAATTTCCAATATATAGTAATAAATACTCGATGCTGTCTCATAGTTCGTATGTATATGGATTCTATCTGATTACAGTTTATGTCTGAAAACTCTACCAAAGAATAAAAGATGGGTTTAAAACATGAAGTCATATTATCCAGGAAGAGAGTATATATTTTAATGGGTTTTTACGTCTTTTCAATAAAGGAAAATTTATTTTATATTTGAGGTTTTACAGATTCTATAGGGTTAGGAATAACACAAATAACATTTCTCATTTTGATGTGGCAGATTAATATTGATGCAATTTGAATGAAGAAGCTGCAGTATTTTCTGCAGTCCTATTGATATCTACAGTTATTCCCCAGATATTACCATCTATTAATGATAGGTTTGGCAAGAAATCAAATTAATTAATCCCAGTACAAAAGAGATGACATCCAGTGGTGGAGCAGTTGCTTGTGTTGGAAACAAGTTAAAGGAAGAATTATGGGTGATTTGGCATCACCACAAGTATAGAAAATAAGGCTATGTTCCATGAATGGTATTGCACAGCAATGACAACAACACAAGGCAAACTGGCCAGTGGGGGGTGAAGCTTAATTTTTCATTTCCTAGCTTCCCATAAGATTTCAAACAAAGTTTTTGAATATATATTTTCCAGATTGAGGTGGGGATGGGACTGGGGACATGCCTCTGAAAGATTAGAAATGCATTTAACAATAAAGATTAATTGACCTTTGTGCACAGCCTGCTTCAGCATACAGCCTACAGAAGAGTATAGTTCTTGATATTGAAAGTTATTTATGTCAGGTCCTTGAGTACAAGAATAGTATATACAAATGTATATGTATTTTTTAAACAACCTGCTCTAGTAGAAGGTGCCCCTGCCCATGCCAGAAGATTCGAATTAGATGAGCTTTAAGGTCCCTTCCAAAACCATTCTGTGATTTTTTTCAGTTGCATGAAATCATGGTAGAAATATTTCTGAAATTATAATACCCAAAAAAAAAATTCCAGCAGATGCACAGAAGAGTTATATACTACCTCTGCAAGTCTTACAGGCCTTTAACTTTTTTATGGACAAGCAATGTTGATAAGGGACCAGTCAAAAATCAAAGAATAACCAATAAAAGAAAAAAACCCCAAAACAACAACAATTCCTAAAGTTCAAAGATTTTAGAGTGCATGAATGGAAACAAAACTACAGAGAAAGCTTTGAATTGAACCAACTGAAAAACTTCACACAGATTGAGAATATTTCTGTTATAAACTCACTTTTCATGGAATCATGGAATAGCTTGGGTTGGAAGGGACCTTAAAACTCATCTAGTTCCAACCCCCTGCCACAGGCAGGGGCACCTTCCATTAGACCAGATTGCTCCAAGCCCTGTCCAACCTGGCCTTGAACACTGCTAGGAATTAGGCAGCCACAACTTTTATCTGGATCTTTACGAAATCCTAACTTTGGAGTTATTCAGTGGTGTGTCTCTAATAGCAGTCACGACTTAAACATTTTTCTAGGAATTCTATTTTATCTGTGTTTTCATATTACCTGCCATCATACTGGATCACTAGTGCAATAAATCCCCACAAACTAGGCCTCATATTTTATTCAATTGACTTTCAACACCCTGTTTTACTTCTTGATAGTATTACATGAATTGGTGTCATGAAACTGGCAACATTAATTGAAACAACAATAATTCTATGGCTTTGAATTTCACTTGAATTTCAGCCTATATATAGCAGACTAATAGAAAGTCTCTCCTGGCAGTTCCACAGAAGGGTCAACATTCTGGCCAAGAATGACAATTTTCACAGAGTACTCATATCTCTGTTCTCTAAATATGCACTGGCAATAAAGTTGTTTTATTTTAAAGCAAATATCCATGCATACTGCAGTACTCCGACACTGTTTTACCTCTGCCAGAAAATCTCAACTATAATGAATTACCCTTTTAAAACATTTCTATTGGAGATATATCTATGTAACACAAACCCAGACCAGATTGTAGTAATAATTGCTTTCAGGGAGATATTTAGGAAGTACATATAAAAATATATATTTTTATATATATACATATATATACGTGTATATACACAAATATCAGCACACATTTGTGCTTCATATCAGTGAATTAGGCTTCACTATAAGGCTGCAGTAGTTGCAGTTGTAGTGCTAAAACTCCCGTGGGGATTTGCAGGCACTCTGAGATTTTGCAGGGGGAGAGGAAAGGCAGGTGATGTGCTTTGGTACTACTGCCACTCCTGCAGAGCTGTGGCAGCCTCACTGAGAAGAAGTAATTTTATGTCTATGGTGTAGACCATTAATAGAGTAAATCTATTCACCTAACTTCACAGAAAAAAAACCCAAAACATAAATCATAACTAATTTGAGCCAGTATATTCAGAGTAGTTAAATAACAACATATACTGAATAATCAAATGTATTACAAGGAGAATAAGTGACATTTTTTCCTCAGTTTAAAAAAAAACCCTGAAGTCTAAGATGTACATTTTAAAAATATTAAGAAAGCTCCCAACTTTTGAATTAAATTCTAAAATAAATCTGCTTTGTGAAAATTCACAATTAATTATTTTTTATTTTATTCAGTATTTTTTTAATATTGAAAAATAATACATGTTATCACAGATATTTCTGTTATAAATATGGCAGAGGAATATGCACACCATAGATTTGGATATATATTTTTAAAATTTCTCTTAATTTCACTGTTTCAGACATCATTTTCCAATCCATAATATAGTAACCTGCATTCTGTAAACAATTCTGCAGTGCGCAGTGTAGCATTGAATGCAGTGTAATGCAAGTACTGAGTTCAGTGGAAGCACTTACATGTGTAAAATTTTGCAAAGGTCTATTTTATTTTATAAATAAATAATCAACATTCAGTTGTCTGTATTTGATTTTTTCAGTGAAAACGTATTTTTTCATTCTTTTTAATGCTTTACCAATATGTATGCTCATGAGAAAAGCTAACCCCCAAGGCTCACTTCTCATAATAAAAAAATGTCAGTCTTGGGTTGTATAATTTTAAATCTCTGTGGTTTGTTGATTTTTCTGTTTTGTTTGTATTTGTTTTTTTATTAGAGTTAACACAGAAAATTGAAATACCCAGTGTTTTTGCAAAAGCTGCAGTTTACTCAGTAACACATTACATTCAGAAGCAAGCAATTTTCTTTCCCCGTGTATTAGCTATGAAATTAAATCTATGCAATTATACTGCTATTGTTTCAAAACAATGCATCCATTGCCTTAATATGCATTCTATGCTCATTTGAGAAATAAACTGACTACTTAATATTTCCACTGTGTCACAGTGAGTTTCTGGATGTTGCTGAGCTTGTGAAGCTGAAATCTCTACTGTTTTGTGAGCAGTGGAGACAAAGCCCCAGCTCTGCAAGAGGACCAAAGGGGAAGTCACCAGCTCTTACCTGCAGGCTGTTGAAGATGATGAAGAAGACTAACATCCAGAGATGCCGGTAAGCCATGTGCAGTCCTCCCCACAGCCAAGTGACGGAAATCAAGGCAAAGAGGTACAGAACCAAGGGGATCTCTGAAAAACACAAACACAGCATTTCACCCTGGGAAAAACACTTTTTGAAACATTACTGACACAGGACCTGGTTTTGCCATCTCTGTCCAACCTTGGAGTTTGCTGTCCAAATATGGGCATCCCTTCTTCTGCCCCAGATTCTTCAATATGAGGGTGGCGAGACTATGAAGTTGCCCAGGGAAGCTGTGGCTGTCCCATCCCTGGCAGTGTTCAAGGGCAGGTTGGGTGGGGCTTGGAGGAACCTGGTCTAGTGGAAGATGTCCCTGTCTGTGGCAGGGGGTTGGAAATGGATGAGATTTAAGGTACCTTCAAACCAAAACCAGCCTGTGATTCAGTGATATCAATCCACTCCAGCTTGGCCATTTGCAAATAGTGCTGTTTCTGTGCATGCAGGATTGCTAGCTTTCTCCCAGTGGATGGGAGCCCTGGGTACCTGGGGAACTCTAGCAAGACCTGAGGTGTGAGGACTTGAGGTACCCATTGTGTGGATATTGTCAGCACAGCATCTGACCTAAAGGAGATCAAAAGGATCTGTACATGATCAGTACATACAAAACAGGCCCTTTGGAAGACCAGTTCCTTATGAAGAGAAAGCTGGAGGCCAGACTGGATAACCTTAGTTGACATTCAATATCTATCAAGCACCTGAATCACTTCTTCCATGGCAAGGAGAGGTCTGGCCAAAATTTACTACAGGCCTGACTTCCCAGGGATCCCTGATCCCAAACATTACTCTTAATAATACATGTGTATTTTTCAGAGCAGCATGAGGGGAAGAAGATTAAGACTACGTACTTCTGTTATTTATCTGGGATGAACTTGATTTTGTCAATGAACAGAACAGTAATGCAATGTATTTGTCACATCACACTCCAGAGTCACCAGTATCCCTTGCACACAAAGCACCTGTCTCAAAATGCTGTGTGCAAAACAGAAGAATTCTTTGTGCCACCAGTGGACATTGAAACAGCCTTTATTTTAACAGCTACTAATATACATGAGCAACATCACAATGCTTTTACAATAATTAAAAATGCAAAGCCCACAAAAATGGTAGCACAATAAGAAGTAAAGCATAAAGTATTTCTCTTTATCCTACATTCCATGCATTAATGAATGCTTATTAGATGTGTAATTACAATGTTCACAAAAAAGAAAGAAACAGCAAGGAACTGGCAACCTCAAAGTTTCTAAGGTTGTAATAATGAAATGAATAAATTAAAAAAAAAAAACAACCCATACATCAAAAAAATGCTGCTTTTTGTAAATGTAATTCTAAAGGTAAATTCAGTAATTATCTGTAGAGAAACTCATTAATTTATTTGCGCATAGATATTAATGGAATGGTATCAGCTTTTGTTTAAATCTCAGAATCATACAAAATATTTATCTGCCTATGAAATTCAGCTGATATAATGGAGTAGCAATTAATGATCACCTATTAAATTCTAAATGCTGTACACAGACCAAGGTGAACAATGAAGTATTGTCTCCTGTAGTTCGAATAATGATTTGGCTTTGTATTACTTTGCAATTCAGTTCAACTCACGTGGGGCCAGGTGAGAGAAGAAAGCAAATTGTAGGAGGACAAACTGCAGGCAGGAGAACATGCCAGAAGCTAACACACCATGATTTCTGCTTTTAGTGCATAAATATTACCTAAGAAAAAATACTATGATAGAAATCATAACCTAGAACCTCAAGAATGTTGCAGCTATAGATTGCTGTTTACATGAAGCTGAAGGAAATGGACCAATATGGTATACAGATCATATACTTTTGATGTACAATGATCTGACTTTATTATCTTCAAGTGTGTGTGTGAAATTTGATAAATTCAGTGCCATCTCATCAGAATAAAGCTACCACAGCTAAAACCAGAATCAAGCTTACTGAATCTGACAAGACTTCTGTGGAGTGTATCTTAGGTAATGTTCATAAAAACTTATGTAATGAATGTCACTTGTACAAACATGTCAGATTATAGATGCATGCTACTAAGAAAAAGTCTGAAGATACCTGCTTTTTTGTTGTATGCTGAACACTGGTACAGTTTACAATTCTGCTTTTATCTTTCTCAGTAACAATTGCTTTAGTGTCACTATGTAAAGGGTTAATGCAGGATCGAAACTTTGTCAGTATCTAAAGTCTCAGCTGTTTGAATTCTCATCTATTTTATTCAAACAGTTTGTTGTATTTTGATCAAACAAAAACTCAATGACTAGAACAAACATATCAGAATATCAGCAACAATTTAAGTTTGTAAAAACAACACTGCATAAAGGAAAAGGGTGCCAATAAATAGCCTTGAAATAAACCAGAATAGAAAGTCTAGTTATCAGTGGTTTCCTTCATATGGAAAGAAAACCAACGACCCCCTCCCAAACTTCAACTTCGAAAAAAGCTTTTTCTGGGCAGATGAACCTTTACTGATGTGACTTTTAGTCTAAATCCAGTGCAAGCCCCTGCCTTTAGACTACTTGAGTAAACCTTAGCAGATCAAAGACTGCCATGGAATAGTCCACTCTGTATCACTGTGATATAGCTGAGACATAGTCAAGCAGCTCTGTTGGGTATTATATATTCAAACCATGTGAGTCCACATTTTTTTTTACACCATTACCACACCTTTTTTTAACACTAGGAATGATGAAAGATTTTATTTAAGCAACAGTCCACTCACTGCTTAAACATATATATATATGTATGCATACACGTATTGCCATCCTGACTGTTCATGTCCTCTCCCTGAAATATCTTCCCTTTTCCCCATATACAAGCTTAAGAAACACTGGCAGAGTTTATAACTCAGTACAGGTAAATGCAGCTTATGAAACTCTAGTTAACAGTTTTCAGGTTTGAAAACTCACCATAGTCAAGCTTGGCATTTGACTAGGTGAAATTACATGCATTCAACTTACCAAACAACTATGTGCCCACTGTTTCTCATTCTGTTCCATTGTTGAGAAAACATTACTTTCCTTATTAATTCATCTATAAAATTTATTTTTATGCAATGCTTACTTTTCTGAGGGGTGCAGTACATTGCAATCAGTTTTTATGGGTGGCAAACCTGTAGTTTTACTACAGTAGGGGAGCTAGAGTAAACACAAGTTTTTTTCCAGTGATTTACATAGAAAAAATGCTTGTGAGAACTTGAAAAAGAGACTGTAATATTTTCATTTGGATTAGATTACAAAATTAATGAAATGAAAAAGTATTAAAATGATAGACAAATTCAATTACCTCAGTGGGAACCTAAAAGGAGCTGTTAAGGGATATGAAACAGTATCTATCTGGCCTTGCCACCAACAAGGGCAGGAAAAGCTGGCCAGATGTGGTACTTCTCCCAGCAAATCTTCCATTTACAGCTCAGGAGGATCCTGAACCAGTTTCTTTCTCTTTAGCAATCTTCAGACGAAATCATATTGAACCAATTTTGGTGAACTAGGATAATTCAGAATATCCAGTGGCAAGGAACTCCACAGGAACAGCTGAAGATTCAGGTAATAAAATGCCAGATTGCTCAACTGAAACAGCTGTCAGCCTCATGCTTGTTATACGGCTTCCTTATGACAGAAGCAAGAACAAGAAATAAAAGCAAACAAAAACCCCAGAACATTGCCAAACAGCTATGCTTTCATCTACAGTTGTTTTAAATCTCTAACAAAATAAACCCACACTATTTTATATTTCTGCAATAAACCTCACAAACAAAACAAAGGGTATAAGTGACAGTTTTAAGTTTCATCTGCTGCACTGTAAGACATCTGTCCTGACCTATGCAGCTAAATGATCTGATGATGACGCTTATGTGGATATATCTACTGCAACCTAAGCAGGTTGCAGCAGCTTACTGAGGTCCACAAAGAAGTTCGCTACCATAAGACTGTGGTTCAGACACCCTCTGCAAGATTTCAGAAATGAAGTCACGTCTAAGAGGGCTGAGGAGCTGTTGGAGTGAGTTCAGAGATGCTGCGAGGGCTGGATGGAGCAGCTCTGCTCTGGAGACAGGCTGAGAGAGCTGGGCTGGGGCAGCCTGGAGAAGAGAAGGCTCCTTAAGGGGAAGTCTTGGAGCAGCTGCCAGTGCCTAAAGGGAGAAACCTCAAGAGGGGCTTTTGACAAGGGCCGTAGGGACAGGACAAGGGGGGATAGCTTTAACCTGATAGAGGGGAGACTGAGATGAGCTCTTAGGCAGAAGTTCTTCCCCTGTGAGGGTGTTGAGGCCATGGCACAGGTTGCCCAGAGAAGCTGTGGCTGCCCCATCCCTGGTAGTGTTCAAGGCCAGGTTGGAAGAGGCTTGGAGCAACCTGGTTTAGCAGAAGGTGTCCGTGCCCATGGCAGGAGGTTGGAGCTGGATGGGCTTTAAAGTTCCTTTCGGCACAACTTTGTGTTTTCAGCACAAATTTTCTGATTCTACAATACTGGGAATAGTCCCTTCAGAACACCGTGTTCAGTCAAGCAGGCAGGCTTTGGTGATGGCTAACAAGTCATACCCCCAAAAAAACACAATTTTTTTTTTTTTTCAGTTTGAATCAGATTATGTAGCTTAGAAGGTAATGCATTGTTTTCTACTTAGAACAGACATATAATTCAAAAGAAATTTAACTTCATATTCTGGAATGTCCATTTTTCTGTTTCTTCTGTCTCTAGAGTTACAACTACTCCTTAACTTTATGTACTACGTTTTGTTACAAACTGTCAGGTAGACTAGCTGAAGGCTTTCTTCCTTCCTTCTGTACCTGATATTATAGATGAAATTTTTCAGCACAGTGAATCTGTGCAGTAAAATATGTAAATCAAATAGAAAGTAATAAAACTGCAAATTAGTAAATAATAGTAAAACTCTGAAAAGCAATGTTGAATATGTCTTTGCAGCAAACATCTAGATGACTTAACTATGGAATATAAAGAATGCACTACACTTTCATAATGTATCCAAATATTTGTATTCTCACGACTGTCTGGGCCAATATTACGCCTTTTACTATTACCTAAGT